TCAGTGGATTGACGATCTCGACCTTCCTTCCCCTCCCCGTCTGCCTCTCTGTAACTCTCCCTTTCAAATAAATAAATAAATCTTTAATGAAAAAAAATCTCATAGTAGATACTCAAATAGCATTTGTTAATTTGCATTTCATAAAGAACAATTCTTAGTAAGCCATACTAAGCCTAAAAATTTTCACGGTGAAAATGACAGGACCCTGGCCGGCGCCACGGCTCACTAGCTAATCCTCCGCCTTGCAGCGCTGGCACACGGGGTTCTAGTCCCAGTCGGGGCGCCGGATTCTTTCCCGGTTGCCCCTCTTCCAGTCCAGCTCTCTGCTGTGGCCAGGGAGTGCAGTGGAGGATGGCCCAAGTGCTTGGGCCCTGCACCCCATGGGAGACCAGGAGAAGCACCTGGCTCCTGCCATCGGATCAGCGCAGTGCACCGGCCGCAGCACGCCGGCCGCGGCGGCCATTGGAGGGTGAACCAACGGCAAAGGAAGACCGTTCTCTCTGTCTCTCTCTCTCACTGTCCACTCTGCCTGTCAAAAAATAAAAAAAGAAAAAACAAAAAAAAAGAAAATGACAGGACCCTAATACAACATTTGGGTAATAGAATGAAAATGACCAGAACAATATTTGTTTCTTTAGGAAAACAAAATAGATCTTTCTATTTCATGCTAGTGTTTAAGAAGGGATAAAAAGCAACAGATTAACTTTTATTTTGCTCCCTATTTCTCTTGGGTTCTAATTAGTTCCAAGAGGCTCTAACATATAGAAGATTTAAAGTAAATGAAGAAAAGCCCAAGAATAATCTCACAACTAAAGAGGTCAGGTAAAGACACTGTACCTAAGATGATGTTGCAGGTTTCCAGTGCTTCCACAAATCAGTTTCCTTTAGGAAGGGTAATTGTGAAAAACATTTCAAAACTACTTTAAAACTTCAGGCTATAAAACTAAGTTGAAACACTTAATTCTGGAGCCGGTGCTGTGGTGCAGCGGGTTAAAGCTCTGGCCTGACGCGCCGGCATCCCATATGGGCACCAGTTCTAGTCCCGGCTGCTCCTCTTCCAACCCAGCTCTCTGCTATGGCCTGGGAAAGCAGCAGAAGATGGCCAAGTCCTTGGGCCGCTGCACCCATGTGGAAGACCCGGAGGAGGCTCCTGGCTCCTGGCTTTGGATTGGCACAGATCCAGCTGTTGAGGCCATCTGGGGAGTGAACCAGCGGATGGAAGATTTCTCTTTCTGTCTCTACCTCTCTCTATAACTCTGTCTTTCAAATAAATAAAATAAATCTTTTTTAAAAAAATAAGAAACACTGATTTCTAACTTCTCAAGACACTGACTTTAGTGATCTGCATTTCTTACCATATCCCAAGCCACTGACTGTCAGTTCAGGATGCATTTTCCAATACCTTTTCCTGTGTCAAGCCTGCTTTTAAGATATTACTTCTGAACTACTGCCTGATTTAACACTGAGAAAAAAATAAAACCACTGGCCTAAATCCATGGGACCAATTTTCTTAGAGTCTATCTTCCTAAAGAAAATGAAACAAAGTTCACATTGTTTCTATAAATACCACCACCATCATCATCATTATTACTATCATAACTGCTAACCACAAACACTAATATGAGAAGGTTGGTATATGAGAGATGTTTCTAGGTGCTTTCTGATATGGGTGACCTAACCACATGACTGATGGATGCCCCACACATATGGTCATGTCATCACTGAGACCCTTTCCCTCCTGCTGTCAGTCTGGTTCTACCATAGAAAATAGGGCAGAGAAGGGTTAAGACATAAATGAAAGTCTAAATGGAATACCACAGACTGGTTATAAGATTATTTTTCACAGATTTTTCTAAAATATGGAAATACAGATGGGATCTAAGGTAGAGCAGAAGTGATGATGTTTATTTTGACTGAGGCAATCACATATATTATCACATTTCACATACATGTTATACATATATCAATTCATGTTATGTATTTGAATATATGTAATCTCTGACATTAAATGGTTACAAAAACATTCAAAAAATGTGGAGAAAAGTTGGAGGAGAAAGCATTCAGCTTGAAGATGGGAGTTTTGTTCACACTGACCTGAATGGAAACGCTGAAGGAACTGCATATGTGATGAACAGTTAACCTATCAATAAATATTTTGTAATAAAAAGGACTATGTAGAAACTGTAAAGGTACCTTGTATTCAAATCACTGAAACTGATCATTTCTTCCACATAGGAATATTAAATTATTTTTTAATTTCTAAGATTTTCAAATTCAGATAAGCGTTAAGTCAGAAAATTAGAGTCCCAGAGACAAATTCTTAACATCTCTTTAAGACCCTCATTTAAATCTTTATAAACAGAAAAGAATTCAAAAGTGTCCTTCAGAAATCAGAAAAACTTCCCTGTCTTTAGCATAAATCCCTCTTGATGCTGGCTTTAAGTCCATTTCCCCTTCTTTCTCTTCAGCGAAGATGGAAAACAGCTGTTCAACATTCTCTTTCAGGCTACTTTTTCCTTCCTGCCAGGCCCACCCCCACTTGGGAGAACTGTAAACACTGCAGGTGATTCTAAAATCCAGCTGGCTCCTGCCTGATTATCCACGGACCTGGTCAGCCTGCCCCATTCATAGCTCCCAAAATTATATCATTAGACTGTAAAGGTCCCAAGAAAAGGTTTTTCCCAGAATTTGTGAAATTCTAGAAATCCATCACCTGTAGCCTGTCCTCAGCTATTTACAAACAACAAAATTTGCAGGGCCTCAAGAAAAGTCCTGTCAGGACTATCTAGGAGGTAGGCAGCTGCAGTCTTTACTGCTCTGCGTGACAGGACGTGGAGTGCACCAAGGCGTGAAACATCTTTAAACTACTTAGTGATTTTTATCATGCAGTTCTTGAATTTCCTGTCACTGATGCAACTTTCTGGATGTAAGTAACTTAGAAATGCAACAACAGGGGCCAGCGTTGTGGCTCAGAGGGTTAAGCTGCCACCTGCGACGCTGGCATCCCACTCGCGTGCTGGTTCGATTCCTGGCTGCTCCACTTTCCATCCTGCTCCCTGCTAATGGCCTGGGAAATACAGCAGAAGATGACTCAAGTGTTTGAGCCCCTTGTACTCAGACCGCAATGAAGTTCCTGGCTTCATGCTGGCCAACCCCTGGCCACTATGACCATCTTGGAGGTGAACTAACAGAGGGAAGACCTCTCTCTGTCTCTCCCTCTCTCTCTGTAGCTCTTTCAAATAAAAAATAAATCTGAAAAAAAAAGAGAAATGCAACTACAACTCTTTCAATATTTCAATCTAAAAGACATCCATTTCCAGTTAATACTTTAAATGAGAAATTCATGTTGAATTCATGACATTATATGCCGATTACTACATTTTACACCAAAATTTATGTAGCCAGCACTAATGTTGCTAAGTCCTACTTCAGGAATTGCTAACAAACATCCTCATTTTTCTTGCATGAGCCATTTGACAGCAACAATAAAGTCAGTATTTGCCTGTGTATTTCATCAATAAAAATATTATAGACCCACAACTTGGTGAGCCCATTTCCTTTACAAATTCATTTTAACAGTTATGAAATGCTGACTCAACTTTGTTGTGGGATAGCTTCCAAATGCACTAAATGCCTACTGCTTAGTAGCTAAGTGTGTTATACACAAGAAAAATGCAAAAGTTATGATTTAATCAACACATAGAAGTTTACAATTCTATGGCATCTGTATGTGCAATTAATATTTCAAATGAAAAGATTTAAAGGACAGCTTTTTAAACTGACTATGGACCTAGTCATTTTCTACTAAAATAACATAAATGTTAATTTAAACACACCTAGGATTTTTACTATTATAATCCTGCTTTCTTTTACACTAGGTTGAGGAGAAGGAAGGCACTGTTAGCTCTCAATTTTTTTTTTTTTTTAACAGGCAGAGTGGACAGTGAGAGAGAGAGACAGAGAGAAAGGTCTTCCTTTGCCGTTGGTTCACCCTCCAATGGCCGCCCCGGCCAGTGCACCGCGCTGATCTGATGGCAGGAGCCAGGTGCTTCTCCTGGTCTCCCATGTGGGTGCAGGGCCCAAGGACTTGGGCCATCCTCCACTGCACTCCCGGGCCACAGCAGAGAGCTGGCCTGGAAGAGGGGCAACCGGGACAGAATCCGGCGCCCCGACCTGGACTAGAACCCGGTGTGCTGGCGCTGCAAGGCGGAGGATTAGCCTAGTGAGCCGTGGCGCCGGCCTCCTCAATTTTAATTTTACTCAAAAAGGTGGGGATTTTTGGCATGCAGACACATACATTCAGTTGCAAACTCATTCTGACCCCATGGAGGACAAAGCAGATGAACACAAATAAACCACAATGCATATGTCATATGTACATAATGGTAACCTAACTACATTCCTGTTATATTCTTTGTAACAAGACTGCATTTACTTAATGGTTTTAACTAATCCAAAACATAAATTGCCAAAGCAAATAACCCTTACAACTAGAATTTTTTTACAGCTTCTACATACAGTACTTCAAAAAATTTGTGGAAAATAGAATTAAAAGATAAATTTGCTTTATAGAAAAAAAATTGAAATCCACCTACAGAAGGGTCTTCAAAAAGTCTGTGGGGAAATGTTGCATTATTCAAATTTTTGCATGAAAATAAACTTAATTTCATTTTTTCACAAGCAGAAGTACTTTCATATTACTAAAAAAGTCAATTCTGTTCTTTCAGAATTGCTTACCAATATGTGTTGAGATCATTAATTAATATCCTGCTTACAAAACAGTCAAAGAGAATGGACACAAAGAAGAAAAAAAAAACCAGCGATAATTTTAATGCATGTTAAAACTCATTGTGCTATTCTGAATTAAGGACTGAATAACTATTACATCCAAGAAATAAACAGATGGCCTCAAAAATCGTTTCCTCTCTTTCTAAACTGAAATTATTCCCTTTCCTCACTGTGATCTCTAACAGGCTCTCTGAACACTTTTCCTACCACAGGTTTACATTCTTTGGGACATCTGAAAGAGGGGCTGGAAATCCACACTCTGAACAGGCTACAGCTTGCCTACCTGAAGCAGGGGTAAGCAATGCAACTGGTAAAGCACTCAGGTAAGAGACGTGAAACCAGCCCAGGAGAACCCCACAGACAGCCTGGGGCTCTGCAAGAATTAGACATGGCCCCACCACAGAATTCTTCCAAAGCAGAGATGTAGAGCGGCGGAAGAGGAAGGGGCTGCAGAAACAGGACCTGTAACTAGCCAGAGACAGAAGCCTGGGAAGCAGTAAGCATTCTAGGAAGCTGACAAATCATGGGGGTAGTGAGTAATAAAAGGATAATGATGTAGATCTTTAGGCAAATGAAATTTCAGAGTCTTTACTAATAGGAATTTGGTATCACATAGGAGAGACAATCAAATGTGAAATTTAGGTTAATTTCATACCTATGTTCTTAATCACTCATAAAATGGACAAGTCTCTTACAATCAGCATTTTAGGGATATAAAAGAAAATGCTGCTTTCCCAGGCATATTAGCAGGGAGCTGGATGGAAATGGAGCAGCTGGGAATTGAACCAGTGCCCATATGGGATGGACTGCAACTTAACCTGCTAGGCCACAGTGCTGGCCCCAGTACTCCAGACTTTTACACTTCCTCATTCCCATGTTGGGCACCAACTCAAAATCTAAATACTTTGACTTTGTCGTCAACACATCTATTGGTCATTTGTTGACCCAGCAAGAATCTTATTCTACAAATCACTATGGAGGAAGATAACGTAATCGCAAGCTGAGAAAACCTTAAGGCTCCTAATACAGTAATAAGAGTTGACCTGTACTCTGCTCAGACACATTCTTTCAGTAGAGTTACAGGTCACCAAAACTGCTTGAAGGTCTTACCCACTCCTTCAGAATAGCAAAGATCCAGACCCTCTCAGGACACGGACTAATGGGGTCCACTATGACACTGCTTCCACTATAGGTTCTGCTTCTCTTCAAAGGCCTGTCAAACTTATCCCAGGAAACTGTAATTGTATTTGGGGTGGGAGCAGTGACAGTGGTGAAAAGGACAAGACTATTTACTATATTTAGTATTCAAAACACTAATAAGTAATACTAATACATGCTGCAAAATGCTAGTCTTTTGCTGGTTTCTTTTCCCTTTTGGAAATATATTAGCAATATACTAAAGTCCAAATGTAAATAATTTATCTACCATTTTTCCTTTCCAATTATTTAATGAAATCATATTACTGAGTAACAATCATGTCCTTTCATTCATGCAACATAGCATGATCAGTTGCAAACAGAAACAAATACCAAAATATTTTATCATAAGTAACATGAAGAAATGTCTAAATTTAAAATGTTTTAATGATTTAATTGTAGAATGCATCTTCATCTGTAATCTTAAAGCACTTTCTCAAAGATAATAAAAAGATTTTTATAATGAGATACTGGGAAACACCTATAAAGTTAAAAACTTCACCTCCTAGATAGTAACCAGGTAGTCTCAGGACAGTACAGGTACTTACTGGATTGGAAAGATCACAGATCACATAGCAATGAATTGTATTAGCATTAAATTTGTGAACTAATTTCATAAATACGAAAGTAGAAGCATGCACCAGTATCACAATGGTCCTGAGCTCACCTAGCAAACCTAGTTGACTGCCCACTCGGTACTTTCTCCACCCTGCCACAAACCTCAAACAGGGAAATTTCAACAGCCTCTTCCGAGGAACATCATGGTAAAGGCCTATACAGTGTTCTGTTCAAGTTTCCTTCTTTGTCAAAGCACAGGATTGCTTCTGTTTTTGTTGTTGTTCTCGTCATTTTGAGAATTCCCTTTTGGGAACCTTTCTATAATTTTTTAACCTGAATGTCAAAATGTATTTTTGTAGGCCACTGTCCTTATTTAACTAAAACTTGATGAAACTGATACTGACATCATAGTCGATGAAAACTAACTCTCCATGTGTAAACTCTCAGGAGCTGTGTGTTTATGCTTTCTTCCTTTCTACAGTTCAGTTCTAGGAGCTAAAGCTGTAGGTAACCAGCACTGCCTTGCACTTTTGGCTAACCCCACGTAGAGAGGTCACTAGGTAACAGAGGCATCAAATTCAGTCTCTTCCCCCATTTTTACTAAAAGAGAGCTTACCTACACACTTCATAAACTGACTTACATCCCTATGGTGAGCTTAAAACAAAAAAGTAATGCATGAAACAAACACTCACGCAATCCTACCTTTTATTCCTTCCTTGCACGTGATTTGTGTTATCCCATTTAGATTTGAAGAGTTTATAAAGCATGGCATATCAGTATTTTATTTCATGGAGATGAACTATTGAGAACTTTTTCAAAAACTTAAGAAAAGGGAATTTTTAAAAAGTTAAACTCTACAATGTGAAAAATAGAGAAACAAATGTGAAGACCCATCCTGAAGTTAAATGTAACATTAAACTATGACTAACGAAAAAACGTTTTAAAGTAATTGTATTGCATGAAGATCCCTAAAAGGTAAACGCGTCATCTTCTGACCTAAAGAATTCCAGGTAAATAAGGTCACCTAATGCTTTCAAGCAGTGGATTCGGATTCGATCTTAATGCCAACTGGCCTCAGCCGCCTTAAAGGAGAGACGAAAACGGAAAAGCTCTCGGGTCACACACTCAGCTCAGATTGCATCTGCGACAGACAGTTCTTGAGCCCATGTAGCATCGCTTACAGGGCTTCCCGGCCTGTGAGTCAAGACCTCCGCCCCAACCCGGCTGCCTTGGGGCTGGGGTTTACCAAGGAGCGATGGAATCCAGCCTCCGGGGAGGCTCGGGCGTGCTTCCCCGGCGTCCTCACCCGCAAAGCCCGGCTGCCAGCGCTAGGATCGCCACACTCGACTCCACTACCTCCAAATGGTGGGGTACACGGGGAAAGGAGGACGCAAGGCTGTGCCACCCAACCCGGCACAAGGAAGCCTACGTCGCCCGGGCCGTGCGAGAAATCCCAACGGGGCCAGGCAGACCCGACGCGCCGAAAACGATCTCTGGCTCTTCTGTGCGCGAGGCTCAGGGCTGGCGTTCTAGGGACGAGAAGGAACTAAGAGCTGTCGCCGAGGCTGCCCCGCCAGCAGGGAAGCACGCAACTCGAGCTTCACGCCCGAGGAACCCTCCGGGAGCCCAGCCGAGCCAGGCCGGGGCGCGTAGCTCTAGGCTCTGGGCGCCCCGCCGGAGACGTGGCTCTCCGCCTCCCGCCCGCGCCGGGCCAGCCTCGCAGGCGACCCGCCTGAGTCTCGGGGAGAAAGTTGCGCCGCGCGTCCCTGGCCTCCCCTCACGTGCCCCTCGGCTTACCGCTCCCCGCCGCGGCTCCGTCCTCTCCGGCGTCGCCTCCCCGGCCTCGGCCCTGGCTCCAGAGGCCCTTCCTAGCTCCGCTCACTCCCGGGCGCCCGGGCTCCCGGCACCCTCGGAGCCGAGCCCTCAGCGCGCCCGCCGCGCCATGGGTGCCAAGTGGGCGCCGCGCCCCGGGATGCGCCGCTGCAGCTTCGGGCAGCGCTTCTGCGGGCCGGGCCGGCGCGGGCGGGTGGGGTATGGGCGCACGGGGCGGGACCCGGCGGGCGCTGGGGCTCCACAGCCGAGAGGCGGAAACCGCAACGTCACCGAGCCGGGGGAGGCGAGGATTGGGAGGGGGAAACGCGGACCCCTTCCCAGGCCGAACCCCGACCTCCGGCCCGCCCAGCTTTCTACATCGCCTTCCTCTCCAGGGCCGCTGCACTCGCCTTCCCCGCCGCTCGGGCCAGACTCCACGCACCCCTGCCCTGCTCGGCCCCTTTGCCTCTAATTTGGTCAGGCTTCTTAGAACCCATCGGCTTCGAGCTCCTCTCTGGAATCGCACCCAAAGGAAAGATAACTTGGGAAGCCCACGGGGAGGAGTCGCTGCTTCCCTATAGCCCTGAGACAGGAAAGCGAGGAGAACGATCCCGCGAGGGTGGCGCCAACTCCCCTCCGTCCTCTCCAAAATAGTTACTCCCCCTTTCCTCCCGCCTTCGGTTTTACTCTTTTCTCAAAGAGAAGAAGGGAAAGTCAACTCGGAAGTCACTGGCTGTACCAAGAAAATGCCCTACATCCAAAAGCACCGAACTCTGAAGACTGAGCAGGTTGTAATCACAAAAGGCAAAGGGTATGGAGAAGAGCTTTTGATGTATGCAGCTTACAAGAGGAGATTTCATTTACCTTATCTCGAGATCTCCCTCATCCAGCAAGGAGAATTTCCCCCTGTCCTGTTAAGAGCAGCAACTGCATACAGGCTCAGCCAGGTCCAACCGGGTCCCAGGAGCTGTGAGCCCTGCCTTAACCATGGGGCTGGTTTCCTCACTCTGGGTGTCAGCAAGTGAATCACCTACCGGAGCTAGGCTGTGCAGATGCCGTAGATGCGGAAGGCTGCTTGCTCATCCAGGAGAGTGGGAGATGTTTTCCTGGGAGCAGTGATTGCTTTGAGTTCTGAACGCTCACCCACGTCCTGCCTTGGAGGCTCAGAAGACACACACAGGAGCTTCCATCTGGCCACATCAAGAAAAAATGTCAATGTCTACTTTTACACTTAACTGTTTCTCAGAAATTGCGCTTAAGAGAGATGCTCCCTAAGAAGTCATGAGCAAATAGTATTGCTAAGCATTTTTAGTATTCACCCAGGTTAAACCACTGATTTGCATAAACATGCCTATGTTTGTAGATGTGGGCTGTGGAGGAGAGAAGAGGCTCCGGGACCTTATAATTAGTTTAAATTTGTACTTTTCAGTTGATGACTGTGGCCTTGGAGAACTACCTCAATGGCAGTTTTCTCATCTGTTGTGTGGAGATATAGTGCCGCCACTGAACAATTATAAAGAGAATACAATAAAAAAAATCTAATACTAACTTAGAGTTTATCACATGCCAGGCACCGCGCTGAGAATTGCCTCAATTCAGTTGTTAGGACTGTTCTTTCCCGCGGGGAAGCGGAGACCCGGGTTCGTTCAAGATTTGGCTTCACCAGTAAACCCACCAACGTGACCGAGGACGGCATTGCTGCTGGAGGTGTAATGGACATTAATACTGCTCCACAAGAGGTGCTGAAGACCACCCTCATCCACGATGGCCTAGCACGTGGAATTCGTGAAGCTGCCGAATCCTTAGACAAGCGCCAAGCCCATCTTTGTGTCCTTGCATCTAACTGTGATGAGCCTATGTATGTCAAGCTGGTGGAGGCCCTTTGTGTTGAGCACCAGATCAACCTCATTAAGGTTGATGACAACAAGAAACTTGGGGAATGGGTAGGCCTATGTGAAACTGACCCAGAGGGTAAGCCCCACAACGTGGTTGGTTGAAGTTGTGTAGTGGTTAAGGACTGTGGCAAAGAATCTCAAGCCAAAGATGTCATCGAAGAATACTTCAAATGCAAGAAATGAACAAATAAAAATTTGGCTCATAAAAAAATTGTTAGGATTAAATTGTGAAAGTCTCTAACTGTAGGATGTAATCTTACGTGTGAATTTCATTTGTCTTTTCAAATTTGGGAGAGATTTCAGAAAAAAATCATCTGGTTTAATTTGTTTAACCTCCTAACACATAGTCTTCTGGTTCAATGATTCTCCAGCCAAAAACCTTAGAGTTAGCAGGGAAGTTTTCATAAATTTTTTTTACTGGGGCCTGGGGTTTGGGAGGGGGGTGTCCCACACCAGACCAATAAATCAGAATCTCTTGGGTTGGAGTCTAAGCACCAGCTCAGCACTTTTCTCTTTTCAGGTGCTCGCGATATACAGTCAGAACTGAGAAATGTTAAAAGGAGGCACTACCTACTGACATTTACTCACCTTCACCCTCCAATTTTGCCTTTGATTTATCTGAAAATTTGTCTCGGTCTCTGGTTACAGTAGGTGTCAGCAGACCTGCAATTCTGTCCTCTGGAGTCTACAAGATACATCTAGCCTTGATTTAACAGGAAATTGCTTAAGTTTTCCAGGGGGACATACTACCTCCATCAGCTTTTCCTGACCCAGTCTGAAAGCTCTTGGGAAGTGATTTATGTTGCCAGGGTTACCCTCACAACCTGATCTCAAGCACTGAACTCGGGGTTTCATCCAAATAACAAAGTTAAACGAAGTTGAATAGCATTGCTCTAATTACTAAATTTCCTTAGGTGTACTGTCAGAGCTTTTACAGCAGCAATATCACTGCATTGACTCCCATATTACCACGCACTAAAGCTCTAAAATGTTAGTTTTTTCCATAACTGCTGCTATGACACAGCTTCCCAAGTTACACCCAATGCAGTTTGTGTTCATCACTTAACACATAATTCTATTGTATTTTGTTGCATTGAATTAGTCCTCTTCTTTTTAACTTGTTGACAGGTCAGGTATTATTGATGCAGTTAAATCATTCTAGCTCCCAATTTTATATCCTCTGCAAATCTGGTCTGATGTCATGTCATCATTTAACTTCTCATTCTTAGGCGCTTCCCACTGCCAACCGACACTGAATTCACATGCTGTTGACAAATATTCTTATCAGTTAAGGTCCCATATGTTTGTTTCCTAGTTATATTTTCTTCCCTTGTCCCAGGACAGCAGCTGCAGTGCATGGGTGCATGGCACCTTTGTAGGAATTAGAAAAAGACACACACACACTCCTCACCCCAGCTGAGGAATTAAGAGTGACCCTTTCCTCCCTGAGGCAGCCACAAACACATAGCAGATGTGCTTTGTCTGTTAGGTATCTTTGATTTACTGGTACAGCAACATTGTCAGAAAAAGGAAATGACTACTTAGTGAGTTCCCATTAAAGTCTGCTAAATTGCTTCTTCCTTTTCTAAGTACCCAATGTTACTTTATTAATTAGGCTTACTAGTTTTGCTCGGTATCTGTGAAAAATCTCATCTTGGTTTCAGAAATCAGCTTCTTTATTGAAGACTAGAATTCCGCTTGTCCATCTCCAGTCTTTCAGTGTTTATCTCCCACTCTATCTGAAAGTAAACTTTCTTTGCTGGGATGTAAATATTCTAGGCAACAGAAGATAAGTTTTAGAGAGTTAGATTGCTTTCTTACAAGATCCTCATTTATCTGAGTTTTCAACTAACTCTCACAAACTTTAATTTGCCCTTCAATTTAATTGTTTTTTCATGATAGGGAGGGCACAAGAAAAGGGAATTAGGTCTGTTTTTCATTCGTTTATATCAGCAAGGACATTTCTTACATGTTCTTGTTTAAACAACAACAAAAAAATTATTGTTGTTGTCATCCTTAGTTATTCTTGGCTCTGGCTTACCAGACTCCAATATTACAGGGCTCTTATGGGTACATGGTCTCTGTCCTCTTGTTGAGTTTAATTCATTAAATTAAAATAAAATCTGGCCCTTGGGTTTTAACCAGCTGGTCCATGACTATACAACTGCTTGAGTCTGAAATGCTGTTTCACTTTGAATCTCTAAGCCACAATTATGCCATAAAACTGCCTTGCCCTTCACCTTGATTGTCTCACTCTCAGGTCCCTGAAAGGGGCATGATCACTTTAGTTTGCTCCAACCATGTGGCCTTGTACTTAGACTTACTCAAGTGATGATCTCCTTGAGCTTCCCCATCCATCTCTGAGCAGTCAGCCCTGGCCAGACAGGGCCCAGAGGCTTCTCCAGCGCTCCCTACTCAGGCCTACTCACCTGCCTTTTCCAGCCCAGACATGCCCCTCTCCACCACTGAGACTGTTCTGCTGCTTCCACTCCATCTCCAGATGACTCAGGCTTCATTGTTAAAAAAAAAAAAAAAAAAATGAAGAAGAAACACTTACTTACATTCTTAATCATAATTGGGTTTCGCTTCCACCCCAAGTCAGTTTGTGGATTTTATATACAATTCTTTTTCTAAAGGGTGATTAAGTATACTGGGCACATCCATGTATATCTCATTTTCTCATACAGATGCTGGCATTACTGTGTCCATTTGACTGTTGATGAAACAGACTCAGAAAGTTGAAGTGAAATTCTAAAGACGGCCGGCGCTGCGGCTCACTAGGCTAATCCTCCGCCTAGCGGCGCCGGCACACCAGATTCTAGTCCCGGTCGGGGAGCCGGATTCTGTCCCGGTTGCCACTCTTCCAGGCCAGCTCTCTGCTGTGGCCAGGGAGTGCAGTGGAGGATGGCCCAAGTGCTTGGGTCCTGCACCCCATGGGAGACCAGGAAAAGCACCTGGCTCCTGGCTCTTGCCATCGGATCAGCGCGGTGCGCCGGCTGCAGCGCGCCGGCCGCGGTGGCCATTGGAGGGTGAACCAACGGCAAAGGAAGACCTTTCTCTCTGTCTCTCTCTCTCACTGTCCACTCTGCCTGTCAAAAAAAAAAAGAAAAGAAAAAAAAGAAAAAAAAAAAAGAAATTCTAAAGACATAAATGGCTCAGATCACATATGATTAAGTTTTCTGATATCAAAGCCTAATTTATAGTTGGAGGGTCCTGGCCTCCACTGAAGGCTATTCTCCTTTCATTCACTTTTTTTTTTTTAAAGATTTATTTATTTATTCATTTGAAAGAGTTACAGAGTCAGAGGCAGAGAAAGAGACGTGGTCCATCCACTGGTTTACTCCCCAGATGGCTGCAATAGCCGGAAGCTATGCAGACCCAAAGCCAAGAGCCAGGAGCTTCTTCTGTGTCTCCCACATGGGTGCAGGGGCCCAAGGACTTGGGCCATCTTCTACTGCTTTCCTAGGCCACAGCAGAGAGTTGGATTGGAAGTGGAGCAGCCGGGACACGAACCGGTGCCCACATGGGACGCCAGCACTGCAGGTGGTGGCTTTACCAGCTGCACCACAGTGCCAGCCCCCTTTCATTCACTTTTTTTTTTTTTTTTGGACAGGCAGAGTGGACAGTGAGAGAGACAGAGAGAAAAGTCTTCCTTTTTTTTCCATTGGTTCACCCCCAAAGACCACTCTGGCTGGCGCGCTGTGGCTGGCGCGCTGTGGCCGGTGCACCACACTGATCTGAAGCCAGGAGCCAGGTGCTTCTCCTGGTCTCCCATGTGGGTGCAGGAGCCCAAGCAGTTAAGCCATCCTCCACTGCACTCCCTGGCCACAGCAGAGAGCTGGACTGGAAGAGGAGCAACCAGGACAGAATCTGGCACCCAGACCGCGACTGGAACCCTGGGTGCCAGCGCTGCAGGCAGAGGATTATCCTAGTGAGCCGCAGCGCCGGCCCTCATTCGCTTTTGAAATGGATGATTTATTATAAACTACCAAAGGTATCCCAAACACCTTCCAGATTACAGTGCTATTCTCTGAAATTATGAAAATGATTGTTGGTATTTACTACATGTGAAATTAAATATTTTATTCTTCAGAATTACCATATGAATCAAAAGGAGATTAAGCATTTAATATTTTTCTAAAATGTGGCTGCAGGGAATTGTACTGAACTATTGGCATCACTAAGGAATTTAGAAAATGAACGTTTATTGAGGATTGCTTTTGTTTAGTGATTCCTTGTAACAGGCACTTGAATAGCTTATCAAACTCCAACTTCTTCCAGAAAACTGCAGTTAAGGAAGAGGCATGTTCAGAAGGTTCTGAAAACAGATTCATGACCCAGGAATCAGATGACCCAAAGTCCATGCATTCTCGCAGTCTGTGATTTCAAGAAATGGCCCAAATTATCTCTTCATGGCCTGACTCCTCAATTATTCAATGAGTTTATTCTAGGCTAATTATGATTATTCTTATGTTTTCATTAAATCAACAGAGAGTAAAACTTACTATTTTTCTAGGCAAGCATTTGAACACTGAAAGCATAAGGTAAGAGTAGACCTGTTTATTGGTAGCTGTAGCACATGTGACTTTGAGACGAGCACAGTTGCAAGAAAGAATAAACCTGCTCTTGAAGACACTATGCCAGCCCAGTGATTAGGCAAGGAAAGGTTTACTTTATAATTTTGTTTATTTGCTTTTGTCTCCTTTAGTAAATTATAAGCTCCTTCATGGTAGAGACTGTCTCTTTCATGTGTACTTGTATATTTCTTCTTCTTATTTCTTAGCATGGTGTATGTTTATTAAATTAGAACACAGTTTCAGATTATGTCTGTGCCTGGTCTGCATACAATAGTGGATACTTTAATGTGTCCATCACCTAAGAGCATAGACATTGAGGATGAACAAAACTGGGACGAATTCTAGACTTTAGTCCCTGTGTGACTTCAGGCAGCTAAGTCATTTACCAAATAGAACATGAGTTCTATTTTCCTCATGAGTTCTAATATGTATACTCATCAGTTTCTGGAAGAACTAAGCAAAATATATAAGGTGCCTGGCAAACAGTGATTCTAGGGGCTGTCAACAGAGATGCTCCTTGGAATCAATCTTGTGTGAACTTGAACATAGTTAAGTTT